ACTTTTACTAGACGAGTGAGACCCAATAACGGCCATATTTTCAATTTTAATTGGTTTTTAATCTCTACCGAACGGGGCCTTAGATGCTTAATTTTTGTTTGGTTTTGAATACTTATTATGATCTTAATACTTTTCTATCATTTGGCCACTAATTGATTAGATGTATGATTTCTATTATCATTGGAAGAATGAATAGATAAGATAGCGCACGACCTCAATCATTATAAAGCCTAATAACATTAGGACTATTGAATGTTCTTGTGATTTAATGCATATTCATACGTTCGCATCCAGACTAGGGATATTTTATGTTATATGTGAGGATATGTTTAATTATATTCGAAAGATTATTAAACAAGATAGGGATATAAATTTTCATGTCTGAATTAATACTATCAAACTCTTGGATTCATTTATAAGATAGAAAAATGTAGTGGGATTTATTATTTGAGAGTTCATTAATGTTCCAAAATAACTTATTTAGTTAATTTAGTTAAATAATTAAATAGATTGTAGTTCAGTTTCATCACATTTCTTATACGCCAATTAAGTCAACTTGAATCCGATTAATCCCGATTTAATTCAGCTAAAAAATTGAATTATAATTTAAATAATAATAATAATAAAATATTTAATCATGCATTTTATTGAATTCACATTTTCTCAACCACACATTTCATTATCTTTTATCAAAATTTATTAAAAATTTGATTTTCATCTAAAACATGGCAAAACATTATCCCCATATTCATTAAGGGCAATTATATTAACAGCACAATTTTTATTTCTTGCATCACATTTTAATTGCACTTAAAATTTTTAATCCTTGCTTATTACATTACTTATGTTCCTAACGATTTTTCATCTCATTTTTAACTTTAAGCTTTTTATTAATTAACACATTTTGTATTTGATAGCAGTTTTATGTTCAAAAGTCCGTTGAAAAAGTGTAAAATAACTTATTTTTCTCATCATATTTTTAAAAATAAATAAATAAAAGTACGAAAATATATTTTTCCCTCATTTTGAAACATGAAAATAAAATATTTTGATATAAATCTGATGCAGGAGGGTCCGAGT